TTCCAGATTTTTTTTCTCATTGAAGTTAACCTTACCTTAAAAAAATCTTCTTCACGTTATGGTGGATCTCTATATAGTATTGAAAGGAGTCTGTTAATTCTCTAATAAAATCCCATCAATATCTTTGGGGATTACTTGTGAACGGTGCACGTTGCTATTTTCCTGGAAGACGAAGACTCCAGGGGCCGCTCTGGTACCTCTGTGCTCTAGGCGGAGGCTCTCCGTGGCACCTGGTACCTCTGTGCCCTAGGCGGAGGCTCTCCGTGGCACCTGGTACCTCTGTGCCCTAGGCGGAGGCTCTCCGTGGCACCTGGTACCTCTGTGCCCTAGGCGGAGGCTCTCCGTGGCACCTGGTACCTCTGTGCTCTAGGCGGAGGCTCTCCATGGCATCTCCTTGCATTTTGAAATTAGTTTTTTTGCTACTCCTGAATTTACTTAAACACCGTGTGATTTCATTTAGAAAGGTGCTCTTATCCCTGATCTTTTGCTCAATGGTGGGTCTTGATCGAGCCCAGCTCTAGGAGGGAATATGTCTTTGTGTCCTTTGCTTTACAGTAGGAGTATGTGATTCTAGGAGTATGTTCATAAAGGGATTTGGCACCAAATTTGAGAAACCACATCATTTAAAACATATTGCCATAGAGCTTGGTTAAATAACTATTTTTCTACACATTATTCTGAAATTGTAGTAAGCTGTCTCATAAAGTTTATATATACCTGGTAACACACATAAGTTGTGTTTAATAATACAGAACTCGGGTCAGATGCTCAGAGTTTATGTGACCAGACAAATCGAGTTCAAATCCCATTATTGTTACATGCTCTCTGAGAGATTTTGGCCAAGTTACTTTTCAGAGCTCAAACTTATTTATCTGTAAAATGGGGATAGTAATAGTACCTACCTCCTAAAGCTAAGCGGCGATTAAATGAATGAGTAAATGTAAAAGCCCCTAGCAATTGCCTGGGCACTTACCTCCTGGGCACTGCATTTGGGTGAGAGGCTCTCTTGCTTGGAGGTCACATGTGTCTTATAAATGGTAACTCTGGATGGCAGCCAGCAGAGCAGGAAATGGGAAGGGAGGAAGAAAAATTGCCAGTTGGTTCTGAAACATGGACGTCCATATAGATACAGCATTCAGACAATCTGTTCTAGTCCCTTCCCCTCCCCCCCAGCACTACCTGCTTGGCACAACAAATGAAAACTTTACAATGAATTTGCCTGATTTACAGGTGAAGATATCAAGACTCTGACAAAGAGATCAAAGTTTCATAACTGACAGATTTGAGATTTAAACCCCCGGCTTTCTTATTCTGAAGATTGTATCACTACACCAATATTGGCGATTGAAGAATACCAGGAGTCATTCATTTTCTTTAATGAAGAGTATTTAATGCAAATATTTCTTCCTTTAACAGAAAAAGTAATGCTTAGGATTAAAAAAATGACAATTTTTATTCTTTCAGACTGTGCACTCTTTTTGTTTAGAAGAATATGAAAATAGACAGACTGCATTCAGAACTTTGGAAGTTTTCATTATCCATCGCCTTCCCCTTCCACCTCCTGGTAAATAGGTGTATGTGCCTAGCTAGGAGGTAGATGAGTAAAGGAAGAATTTTGATGGCACGTCTGCCACTAAGAACAGGGATAGCTTGTTCCCTATACAAGAGAACAGATTTAAACAATTATATGAAATCAATGATCTCATGCCATGAAGTTCTAAATATGTTGTATTTTGAAATTAGTTGTTTTGCTACCCCTGAATTTACTTAACCACCTTGTGATTTAAATTAGAAAGATGCTCTTATTCCTGATCTTTTTCTCAGTGATGGGTCTTGATTTGAAGAATTTTCTGGGCTATTGACTTCGTCAATGCTACCATTTCAAAATGTGTAGTATTGATTAATGCTGTAATAGAACAAAGCAGTGGTTCAGAAAGCAGATATTTAAAAGGCATGCCGCAAAGTGTACTGGACAATCCATATTCCCCTTTCTCCCCACGTACCCTGTCGTTTCTACTGGTCGTGGTGTTTGTTAAATAGTTAATGGTGCCTCATACAAGTTGTGTTTTCAGTGTTCTGCAATGTCAGTTTCCCCATTCATAAAATGAACAAAGAAACTAAAATCCTCTGGGGAAAAAGAAAGCTCTTCCTCTTTAAAAGCAGGCAGAAAATGTTGTTTATTCCTTTGAATTTCCCTGTGTAATTACTGTATTTGTCTGTAAGAGGACTCATGGTGGTCTCCTCTTCGTTGCCTTTTCTGTGGGCAGCTCTAGAGATCCACACAGCACACGTGGAGCTGGCCTGAGGCAGCGAGCTCACAGTTTTGTGAGGATTAGTCCAGCGTGTGGGCACTTCTTTCACAGAATGCCAGTCCTGGAGCAGCAGAGCAGTGTGTTGGGCTGGAGGACGGGGAGGTGGAGCCTTTTTGCTCACTGCAGTGAGTTCCCTTCTCCTCTCTCTCCCGGCTGTGCATTGGCTCTGCATGCTCCGTGCACTGCTCCTCGGAGTGGAATAGGCAGGGTGTGCTCACAGACCCGGGTGTGAACTGCATTTTCTATTTGGGGTGCCCGGGGAAAGAGCACCAGGAAGGAAGGACGGCACCAGTGCCATGGGCCAGCTCTGCTGCTTTCCTTTCTCCAGAGATGAGGAAAAAATCAGTAAGTATGATTTGTGCTGTGCAGAATCCTAAGTGCTCGCCTGTTTTGTGTGGCTGTCTTCTAGGGGTAGTTTTGGTTTTTTCTTATGGGGAGGATAGCAGAATAATTAGCTGTGATTTTTGTGTGCTTTTCTTAAGGGGACTGGAGGGTGTATAGTTAATAATTAACTGTAAAAGTACACTAATTCAATAAAGACGCTAGGTTAAATGTAAAAATGCTGGAAACTCTTTTGTGATATTCATCTGTTGGTAATCTTACAGCTTATTTTTATCGCACTGTCTGGAGTCAGAGTTTAGTTTTGAATTTCTTTAAATCACTGCCTACCATTTGATATATGGTAAGAGCCAGGCTTCATTTTGCTTATTTGAAATTGGAATATTTTCAGAACAATGCTCAGTAACAATATATACAGAAGTAAAGCTGGCTCTAAAATGACATATATCATACATTTTCAAATATTTTCATGTTTCCTTTGCTTTGTTCGTGTGTAACTGTAAGACCACTCCAAACAAGTGATGCCGCTTTGCTTCCAGCAAAAACCTCACTGAATATTTTTAAACAAATGTCAGGCAGATTCCACATTTGCGATGGCCCAGAAAACAGAACTTAAAGTGACAACATTTGCATTGATTTTTTTTTTCTCCCTGGCTTATGTGTATTCACTTATGTATTAAGCTTTGTTAAATACAGTACTGGCTTTTTAATTAGTGTGTCAAATAGAACTGGCCTTACACTAGTTGCTCCAGAATATTGAATTTTTACTTTTTCTCAATATGATGTTTATAGTCATACTTACTAATTCTGCACCCACATTTCTGTCCTGTGAGTGCTTTATTTAAGTAAATTTAAATAGGTCTGCAGAATCTTATGATACCTGGGTCAGATACTCCAAGGTCTTGCTTATATTTTCTGCTGCTTGTTCCTTAGGAAACTAACCAGGAATAGGCTTTTTAAAAAATTAATACATATCCTATACCTATTGACTTGGGAAATAAGCCAGTTTTGCAAAAAATCTTCCAGGAATGCTTGGAATAAATTTTGGAAGAATTTGGAGCATTGGATTATTAACAAGAGCTAATAGTTGCACTCTAAATTTTCCTTGTGAAAATTATACTGTACAGTACTTCATGGTCTTGATCTTAAAACCTGAGATGACTTTACAAGAAAATTCTTCATTTTCTAACAGTGAGCATTTGGCAGCCTGAAACTTTTCAGGTGTTTGTCAGAATGATTTATTTCCCGTTCCTGAGGGTTTTGGTTGATTGAGTCCTTCCTTAAGGAATATGTCTCTCTGAAAAACCTTGGTGTGGACAGATGTAGGGATAGTGAGTTCTTTGCTACCATCTCCACCTCCTGTTCCACTGCTCCAGGTTTTCGCTCGGAACATCTGCTTTCCTTCTATTGCTTCCCTGTCTGTAAGCAGTCTTCTTGGCTCTCACTGAAGTCAAGTTTCACCTCAATGAGGAATTTGCCCTTTTCTGTCTTATTGGGGATCACTGGAGGGCAAAGCCTTGTGTTTTACATACAGTGCTTCTTCATATTGGTTGCCAGGAAGTGGTATATACTGCTTTTTGGGTTTGCTTTCTCAAGTTCCAAAATTTTAAAAAGAAAATGAAGACAAGACCCTGTGTCTGAAGTGCACGTGTAGCCCAGAAGTGCAAATCATGGTGAGGAATCAGTGCACGGGCACCGCCTTTCCTCTCACCCTGCCCACTGGCCCCTGGCCCTCCCCGCCCTCTCCCCATCGTCTGTCTTTGACTTTTGTCGTTGCTTCACCATTTTCCTCCTCCTAATCTGCTCCACGCTGCACCCACACACCGCATCCGCTGTTTTCTGGTGCTGTGTTTCATTTCTTCGCTATCGGGTACTTTGAAGAGAAGCTTCTCTGCCAGACACTGCTATGTTGCTGATAATACATGTCTGAAGTACTTAGAAAAGGGACCTGAAAAAAACGTAGCAGAGAATTCATTAGCTAGCATGCCTCAAGGAACATGTAAATTAGCACTAATGGTAGATATCCAGTCCCTAAGTTGTGTTGGTAACATATACAATAATCTGGAGCAGGCATTTGGGAGGGTCTAGCATTTTTCTGATCTTGCTCCTAGATGTACAGTAACCTCCTGGGTCTTATTCATCTTTGTGTCTCCACTTAGGAGCCTCCTTAGTCTGCTCTGAGACACATAGACACATGCTCAGTCAGGACCTGCTAGGGACAGAGCCCAAAAATGCCAATGCCTACACCCTCCTAATTCTGCTGTAAAGAGTGATGGGCCTTCAAACGGTAGAGAATTAAACAAGTTTGTGGTGAAAGTTTACATTGTGAATGTCATTCTCAAAACACAGGCGAGTCCTCTACAATCCTGCAGAGCTACAGAAAGGATACCCCCAGCTGGCCAAGTGGTAAGGATCCAGCACCCTCACGCCCTCCCCACTGCTCTTTCGTTCTGCTTTTGCCCATGGGGGTGGTATATAGAGAGTATTCTCATTTGGTTGATTAATTAATGCTATTATTTTAATCTATTGATAGCAAACAAAATGATTTTTTAAAACCAGCTAGTTGTGCAGGGGTCTGTTTTCATGTTAACTGTGTGCATAGCTAGAAATCTTGATAATAAGGTCAAATATAGTAGAATGCATTGTGGCTTATATTTCAGGTAATGCATCACAAAGCAGTTAGACCCTTTTTGTTTAAATCCAGCAGTTGAATATTTTTCTCAAACTTTACTTTTTGGCCACAAAAAATTGAATATACCAACAATAAGTGCATGTTTCTTGGAAGACTAAGCTCTTTATTGCTACACAGGAACATTAAATATTACTGTATATATTGTAGGATTCACAACTGTTGTAGGTCATCTCCTATGTAGTTCTTGCTGAAGTCTTATATAGCACTTGTTTTTTTAAATCACTTGATTCCCCACAGTGTACTTCTTGAAAGAATTGTCCATAAACAGGAATGTTGCTGCACAGGCTTACTGACCACTGCAGCTTGTCGATCTTACTGAGTTAACCTCCAGAGAAAACGTAACTGAAGAGACATCTCTATAACTAATTAGAAACCATTTTACTCGTTCTTTTCCTGTTGCAGATTTTCCCACTTTGAAGAGCATTGCCTTTATGTAGGATGACATAGGTGACTGTGCAAACACGAACCGCCCCGCCTCGTGGGCCAGGCGGTGTGCAGGCGTGGGAGGCATTCAGGCGTAGGGCCAGGAGTCGCTCCCAGGGATGTTGTAAGGGGGCGGGGGGCAGCGAGGGAGCGGAGGCACTGCCAACCCAGTTACTTCCTAGACCTGGCAGCCTGTGTGGCTGGAAATAAACTGGTATCAGTATGTATTTTAATGTTAATTTTATAGGTACCTATTTTAACAATACATACACATTTTACTTTCATAAGTGAATTATGTTCCAATATAGTCTTTTTGTGTGGGATGTTACCAGGACCATTTATAGCATTCATTTCATAAATGTGAGACAAATCACAAGATAGTTTGTTTGTTTCCTTTTTTTTTTTTTTTTTTTGATGGTTGGTTTCTGATGATTTGGAATTTGATGGTATAACACTAATATATAAATTGAGGTTAGCAGTGTTAATTTCATGTCTGGTAAATACTTAAATTTTTGAACCTTAATTACCACAGTGGTTATTGTTCAGTTATACTCAAAGAAGTCTGTGTTTAGATTTTCCAGTTTTCCAGAAGGCTTCCTGTAGCCTAATACTTTGCTCTTCTCATTTGCACTTAAAGACACTGACTCTGAGGTTATCTTTCATATGTGTGCTCTGTCTCATGACAGATTTCGAGCACCCCGTGTGCAGGACCCATGGCGTGGGCATCCCTTTCATAGCACCAGAACCTAATATAGTGTCTTACCCAGAGGAGGCATGTTCTAAATGCTTGTTAATGAAGACAATGTTACCCATTTCCTGTTGTGAGTATAAGAGAACTTTCAGTATAAATGAGCCCATCAGAGGACAGCATTTAGAATGTTTAATATTGTAATTTGTAAAGAACTTTGGTTACTGAGGTATCAGGAAAACATTTTCACAGGTTCTCACTCAGATGCTGCAGCGTGGGCCCCGGAAAATGTGTGATAGGGAACCTCCCATCAGCAGACGTGCCATTCATTTTCCTTCCTTGTGTGTAGAAAGGTGTTTGTGCGCAGGAGATGCAGCATGGTCCCCGCTCTGCTGCTGCCTGGCAAAAACATAGGTCCACCCGTTGGCACGCAGTGTTTGCTGGGAGTTAGGAGACCTGGGTGACAAACCAGGCGTGCTGTCCCATCCTGTCTGACACTGGGCAAATTGCTAATATCTCTGGTCCTCAGTTGCTCATATTTAAGAAGTGGTGGCTAAACTACTATGATCTTGAAAGTTTATTCATTCCTACTACCCGCCCTCCCACATTGTTCTGTTAAGAGTCTAGGAAATAAATATTATAGATACAGTGGAGTTTTTTCTTCTTTCTATTTCTCCTCCTCCCCCTCCTTCTCCTCCAGGATGGTCTAAAGACCTCCTCTTCTTTTTAATTTATCGAGTGCCTATTGTGTACCAGGTACAATGCCAGGGTCATTTGGAAAACTGTTTATGAAATGCAACTTAGAAAATAAAGGCTTTCTGTTCCATTTAAGAGAGGAAGTGGCTGAAAGCTAGTAGTTTGGGGCAGTTTTCAGTAGTTTGGGGCAGAGGGTCAGCTCCACAGGTGCCTTGGGTCTGGAGCTGACCGGAGCTGGGAGCCAGGCCCTGGGATGTGCTGCCCCCTTTTACAAAAGCAGAGAGGCACAGCGGAGCCAGTGCTGCCGTGGAACTGAGACTGCATTTTGCATCAGATGTGTCTGTAGGTAATATTGTGGGAGCAGCAGTAATGCTGTACGAAATAAAACATTTAACCATGGTCGCTAAAGATTAGATTTTACTCCTTCCTTTATTAAACAATGTCCACCCAAGAGGTTTATGTTTCTAAAATTAGATATAGGAACATTAGAGCAAATGCTCATAGTTACTCTTCTGTCTTACCTCCCTGATTCCTTTTACTTATTCATAGACTATATGGTAATTATATTTCCTTTTGTTGCTGTTCTCAGACCTTAGAGTTTGCCTGGATTCAGTGATCAAACGCTGAGTAGTTTTCACTGAGAGTACGCAGGCTGTAGAATTTTTCCCAGCTCCTGATGTGGTCAGTCACAGGCTGCTGTGAGCTCGGCCCAGATGCCCTGTCAAAGCAATGTGATGTGACCTGTCCTCGTGTCTTATTGCTGAGGACCATGCAAAAAAAGGAGTGGGAAATCATGAGTATAAAGGTTTTGGTTAATATTAAAAAAAAACCCAAAAAACACAAAACATGTTACCCCTTCCTGGGGAATTTGCATTTTAACAATACTAAATTATCCCCTGTGCTCTAAGTATTTGTAGTAAAATGACAAAATAAATTAAGCAGTGGTAATGGCTTAGTCCAAAATAATCTCTGAGGGAGGAATTTCAGGCAGATAGTAAAACTCTTTCAGGGCATCTGATAAATCACTTCCTGTAGATAATTGCCTTCTCTCTAATTAAGTCTGCCCTGCCCAATTTGTAGTCGTCTATGAGCTTTTTTCCATAAACTTTTGATAAAGTGAAGAAACAAAAAAGAGCCCCAAATTCTCAGTGCTGAAAGCAGGGGTGACTCAGTTTGCATTTTTTTTGTTCTAATATTTACTATGTAACTTCTTGAAGCCTCTGTACCCTCATCCTAAATATCTGTTTATTGTGAGAATTAAATGAGCCAGTGTCTATGAAATGCCAGAAACTGGTTGGCATATAATAGGTCTAGTAAATATTATTTCTTTTTAACAAATGAGTGTATTGTATAACCATAGTCACCTTAGAAGTCAGATGAACTATATAGTTTTATTTCCATCATGCTCAGGAAGGAAAAAAGGGAACTTAGAGTTTTGGACCTTGACTTGTTGTGTGGACTTCCAACATTTATTTGTTTAACCCCTTTCCTTTGTGGGACTCCCTCTCCTTCTCCTTGGGGGTTCTGTCTGTCATGATGCCTTGCTTCCCTGCCCTGGAAGAGATACGTGGTCCAAGCAGAGTCCTCTAGGATTTGATAGAGGGTTTGTCTTCCTTTGGGGTTGTGAGTGGAAAGGATGTAAGCAGAAGATTGCTAGTTGGTAGGGGGGGGAGTATGAAGCCAGCACAAAAGGAAGGGGCTGGAAGAGAGAGACAGTCCTGATGATATTTTTGAGCCTCTGATTTCAGCCATGACTAAGACCTTCTCCATTACATGAAGCTTTATTTTATTTTATTTTATTTTATTTTGCTTAAACTTGAGTTAATTTTGTTTTTGTCATCTGCAACCGAAAGATTTCAGATACTATTTTAGAAAAAAATTTCAAATACCGTGTATGTAAGCATAGACCCATTCTGGAACAAATGTATTTCCAAACCTAGTGAAGAAGTAAAAACTCTCTGATTTCTTTTGAACCTTCATGTGCCATTTTAGTGGCAATGAAATTTAGCTCTGAGACCAGTTCTGAAGATAATTCAGTTCACTTCAGCTAATATTGTTGACCACATCACATTTTGAAAAATCTGAGCCAGGTGTTAGGGAAGGTACAATGATGATACATAGTCCCTCTTGTTGGAGGATTACTTTTTAATTTACATGATTAAAAAAAAAGAGATGTATTGGATCCCGGTGTTTATCCTGCCCCAAACAGAAGAAAGCAACGATAAAAGGTCTTGATGTCCTCAGTCTAAGAGGTGACGCCACATCTCTTCCACGCCAGCCAAGTCCAGGGAGAGGGAGTCAGTTACCACCAAGAGCAGAACTCACCTCAAGGTCCAGTCCCAGGCAGCGGTGACAGCTTGATGTGGGCAAATGCAGTTTGTACAACCAACATCTTAGCAAGTCAAGTTTCCTATAAAAAACATTTATAATGTCAAAGTACAGGTTGACAGACCTTGGAACTATTAAAACCAGCCTTTCCGCTGTACAGTGACGTTCTTTGTCCTCAGCAAATAGTCATAGACAGGAATGGAGCTATAGGATGAAAATAAAAAGAATAAATATAGTTTTAACTTAAAGTCTATCCTAACTAAAATATGATGATGTTAATTTTACTAAAGGCTGAGTTGAAGATGTTTGAGAAAATATAATTTTCTGTTTCTACAAACTGCCCCCGAAACTTATAAATATAGTCAAGGACATTTGTAAGCCTAAGATATTTTTACAGAAGAACTATAGTGACAGGGAGAAAGTGATATGAAAACAGAATGCTTAGAGTAGATGGAGAGGGAATTTCACATTCCCAAGAGACACCGGAGCTCGTCAGTGTAACGCTAATGGAAGAGTGAAGAAGGAATGTGACAGAAAAGGGTGGTTCACTTTTTTTTGCACCTGGCTCAGCAGCCTCTC